TTAACAAGAGATTTGTAAATTCTTACCATTTGGCACTTGAGTTGCGCTCAAGTTGAGCGCTGTATAATAATGCCTAATCCCAAATTCATTGAGTAATGTACATACGTCGCTAGCGTTAACAGGATTCAAAAAAATATTCTGAAAGAATATATAAAATTCGAGTCCGAGTTATCGATCTCTAAATACATACACTCATTCTAAAATTGATTACAAACCGATAAAAAGAATCCATGACGACATTGGATTTTTATACAAATTTTTAAAAATTTAAATTTTTACACAATTTAGATGGGTTAATTCACATCTTATTAATACCGAATTTTACTAAAGCTATAATTAGTTAATAATTACCATGTAGGAAAGGAAAGAAACAGCAAAGGGTTTACTGAAAACTCAAAGCTCACTTTATTTAAGCGCCTCTGTCAAAAGTCATATGCATATACATATTTAGGTATACGCAGTAACGCTAGCGATGTCTTATATCAACGGTGATCCCTTGAGTAACATCCTAACTGTTCTTGAAAATGGTACTGCTTTTTGTCCAATATCACTCATCATCTGCTTGCAAATTCATCATTCATCAAATAAAAAAAAAAAACAAAAACACAATCTTTTAATAATTGAACAGCTCACAGAACTGAGACTTTCGGATCTATAGGAAATTGGAAAAAACATCACAATCATCACAGCACACCACTTCGCCCCGCATATGCTCGTTTCTGCTTGCTTGAGCTTTTCCTTCAGCTGTGACAGTGGTTGCATCCGTGCGAAAACTAAACAAGAATCAAAAATTCAATAACAAACAAAACAATCATAAATTTCAAAATACAAAACAAAAACTAACTAAATTTCCTATTTTACAAATCGTTTCTAATTGTTTTATGCTATCAATTGCTATGAACCTTTCCGAAGACTAACTAATCTAGTTTCTTAGAGCAAGCAAATGGATGTGATTAATGGAAAAAATCGTCATTCCCTTTTTTTAGATGTCTCCACCCGCGAACCTCAGCATGCTGGCGGCGCAACGCACAAACTCCCAACAAGCCACAGCAGCAGCGGCGTCAATGGCAACCTCTCTGTCGCATCAGTCACAACACAAACGGAGCCTGTCGTTCAATCATCATCTCAGCTACAATCAATACACGCACACTCAGCCTCCACCACCTCATCATCATCTTCCACCACCGCAACAAAGTCTACCAAATCATCCGGTGGCGCCAAACCACAAATCAAATTTAGTCCCGACATCGAGCAGTATTTCAAAGAGCCAACACCAAGCGTCAGCGGCGGCAAGCATGGCGGCAACCACAAGCGCAAGGATAGGAAACACAAAAGGTATTTATAATTACCAAATATCTAATTAGAAATTGGCACTCACTTACTGATCTCTTAACCGCAGCTAATTGGAGCATAAGAAATCTGCGACCAGCACCACCATTGCGTCCCAATCTGCTCAATGCAACGACGCATAGTGGCAGCAGCGGCGGTACTAGTGGCAGTGGCAGCGCTAACGCGCTCGCCAGTTACTGCTGCGGTCGGCGGTTACAGCCAACTTTTGAAGAAGATGTACTGGTTTTGAGAGTTTTTGAGGGCTATTGTGCTGCCTTTCAGAATACAGCGCGCAACACCATACATTCGGGTAAGTGGCACCACTTAAACTAACTACTACTACTACTGCTACTACTACATACTCATTCGAAGTACTTATTCATATTGCACATTGCTTAACGGTGGGTGCATCTTCTATTACGACTTTCCTCACCTCATTTCACTATTGCTTGTGGTTATGTTGTTGGAGAAAAATTTTAAAAGTTTTGGTTGCCATTTTGCACCAAATGCGTTTTGCAAGAATTTTGAGCAAAAATTATGGAGCGCTTGCACAGCGTTCAATATTGTGTGCTCAGAGTGCTTGCCGCTGCATTGAAATATTCTGCTTTTTGTGGGTTTTGCTGTTCATTATTTCGTTTGCAAATTTTTTTGGTTCTAAAACTAAGTACACGTCTTTTTTGCGAATCATAAGCTACTGAAATGTATAAAAAAGAGAAAAGCAAAAGAAAAGAAAAACCTAATCATAATTACGTTTTAATATCAAAGCAAACATTAAGCGTCGCGCTTTTTCACAATTAATTCTTAAAATGCTGTCAAATAATGATTTGAAAATAAGAAACGCTTCATTGTATGAGTTAAAAAGCTGGAATTCTTATTGTAGCGCTAAACAGTAATACAAATAGCAAATGGATGTATAGAATTGACAACAACAACCACGCTGTCGGGTTTAAATAGCGGCAAATCAGCTGCACTTGATAGTAGTTGGTTGAAT